ACCCCCAACGATGCTTGTTTAACCCCCGGTGTCACCGGAACCTTCGCACGGCTACTCAAGTCGCTGCGCGGTCCTGATGTCTGGTTCAGATGACGTCCAACGGATGCCATAAAATTATCTCCCAGGAATCACTACACCTACGCCCTGACTCCCCATTCGCCCGCACCGCTGTAGCCTCACAACGCTCCTTCTCCTATACTCTACTCGTGAAAGCAGCCTACTAACGTAAATACCTTGGAAGAATGCCGTTTAAGACTTTTTAATAGCCTCTCTGTTTCACACTTGATTTGGTCAACTTTAATACTTTTTATCAAGCCACCGCGGCTGCCCCCGCCGCCCTGTAGCCTGAGCGGCTCAGAAGCATCCCCTCAAGGTTACTGTGGCTGCAGACCCATTGCCGTACGGCTAGATGCCTTTCCACCTTCTGGTCTACCTCTGTTGTGAACTGTACCTATCCCCTGTGTGCCTACACACGGCATCTATTGCACGTCTGTCCGTCCTGGGAGAGGGATCCCTCCTCTGTTGCTCTCCCTGAGGTTTCTCCCATGTTTCCCTTTAAACTGTGGGTTTTCTCTGGAAGTTTTTCCTTGTACGATGTGAGGGTCTAAGGATAGAGGGTGTCGTATTGTCATACTGATATTCTGTACACACTGTGAAGACCACTGAGACAAATGTAACATTTGTGATATTGGGCTATATAAATAAACATTGATTGATTGATAGATAGATAGATGATAGCGTTAGTGACAGTGTTTCGACCAAATGTGAAATCTATAGCTTGGGGTTCGGAAATCCCTTTTGATTCTTCCGTGAGTGTTGGCTGCGTGCTGTTCACCTGGTGAATGATGTAAATTCTGTAGTTGAGCTGTTGTCGCTGCAGAAAAGGATGCAGGTAGTATAGAAGGAACTTGAGGTGGTGTTCTCTGTTTCTGTGGGGAATGATGATGGCTGTTCGGTGTCTCGCCTCACAGTCAGGCGGCCGGTAGCGTCCTCCGCGCATCACCAGTGGATTCTTCCTCTGCACCTCTGCTAGAGTCAGCCCTGATGGGAATTTGACGTGAATCGGCCCACCTGTGAGCAGGACAAAGCTCTGCAGTCATTACCAGTAGCAAACATGTTCAATGGAGTAAAGGCAAATCAGCTGGTTAGGTGATGAGAGGCTATGATTTGAATGCATTTGAAAATGACTGGGCTCAACTGAACTTACTCCCGGATAGAACATCCCTATGCTGGCACAGAGCTTAATGTGCTTGTAAATGAACTTATTGAAGTGGCTGTTAGTTAAAACTTCAAGCAGAATAATACATTTGAAAGAGTGGAAAAGTTAATTATTTCTTTACATGCCTCCCGTTTCTCTCACTGAAAGGCCACAAAGAAGGAAACAGGTTTATTTTCCTGGAATTCAACATTTAGAAGATACAGTACCATGATGATGACTGAAACGCCAAATTAAATAATTTAAAAAAGGCTCCATGTACGTACAATCTATGGTCAAACAATCCCAAAGCCCCCACAGGAGTTGTCAACAAAGCAACTTGATTTTGTTATAAGAGGAAACATTCAAACATGCAGTCTCTCTGAAGTAAAGTATTTCAACAAGACCCGTCTGGTCCGTTGCTGCACATAAATATCTGTCACAGGGAAACTCCAGGTGGTTTCAATTCATTTCCTGCTGCCTGGGATCATGTTCTTTAAAGCCTCAATGAACTTTATCTATTATTTGTGTAGAAGGAAAATAGTCAAAGCCTTGTGGCTGGGTTATCAGCATGTAGTTTAACTCACTGGCAGTGATGTAGGAACAAAGGGGCGGAGCCAGGAAAGTAGAAAAACCAGCCTGCTTGAGAATGCATTCTAGACATACTGAAAACAACGTGGAGTGTCAGATTTGGTATTGTGCAACTGTCAGAGGTATTTCCACAGGGTTTCGTACTCGTAAAAGAAACTACAATGTAAACCGTTTTGTATTGTTCCTGTATATAAACTAAGTCATTGACACTAATCAAATCTTACTAGATGTTAGACAATTTTGTTAATTCGTTGCAAAAACTCATTGTAGTCTTGTATGGTTGAAGTTTGCCATCAGGCGAACAAAGATGATATGTGTCAAGTTAGGGCTGCTCAATTAAAATCGTATTTTAAATCGCAATTATGGCTTGCGACGATTACGAAAACAACGTAATCGAAATATAACGA